CTAGGTGTCGGTAGAGTGCAAAGCGGTGCACGTGTGTCTGGCACGACGAAACGATACAGTAATTTACACAACTTTGTGGACCTGCGGCTTTGAGAGCTCCCGTGTTCTCGTGCACGTTTTCGACCGCGTGTGTGGTCTAGCGACAGTAGTCGGCACAGAGGTCCTCGCAGCGCACGTATGATCGTCGAGTAATTGATGCGAGAGCTCTCAAAGCCGCAGGTCCACAAAGTTGTGTAAATTACTGTATCGTTTCGTCGTGCCAGACACACGTGCACCGCTTTGCACTCTACCGACACCTAGCTCTAGACAATATGGGGTCGAGCACCTACAAGACCTCATAGCCGGGTAACGTGTCCTTGGGCATGATCGAGATTAGCTCGCCAGGCGTGTACGCAGTCGTGTGCTGGGCCATTTGCGAGATGACGCAGCAACTACACAATGCCGTCGCAATCGCGTCTTGGTAGAGGTGCCCAGGAATCGCAAAGAGTCGACGCAATCGCCACCGCAGATGTATGCGATAGGCAATTGCGAGCAAAAGAGTGGCATACCACGCAATCGACTTGGACGTCCCGACGCCAAACGTCCATGGCGTAGAGAGTGCATCGAAGAGGCCGCGCCCGCACACGTTGGGCCAGATACTGTCCAAAAACCAATAGTACCCAAGGACCCACGACGCAACGTGCAGCGTGCCGTAGAGAGCGATCACGTGCCAGTACCGATGCAAGCCGATGCGTGCATTTATCTGGGCGAGCGGAACACAAGTGCACAAGGCGGCCATGTAGAACGCAAAGCCATCGTAGCTCGTTAGCGACACCTCCCAGCGGCCGAGCGCGAGTCCGTTCCCGTCGCGATGCACGGGCGGCGATGCGGCAGCATTGGATGGCATCAAAGTTGTCTCCGGGCGCAAGCGAACGACCGCTGATAGCGTCCCTGTGACTGGTGGCGCCATCGTATTTGGATCGGATGGATCTTTCAAGCTCCGGAAGCGGTCCGGATAATGACGGCAGTTGCAGATGCGCACGCGAGCAGGTTCGTACCAGCGCTTGGCACCGGCAGACGCGGAGACGGACAGCCTTGATGCGACGCTCGATGAAGAGATCGAGGACCTCAAGAAGCGCTCGCTGCCCAAGGCGCCGTCCAAGGCCGAATGGCTAAGCACGAAGCTGCATGCGTTGCTGTGGGTCGGTGGCGCCTGCCTTCTCGCGTACTATCTCGACGTCGTCCACATCGCACTACGCGACGTACGCGTCCATCGGTACGTAGCTATGGCGAGCTGCAGCTCATGCTTTCTAGGCTCTACTTCAACATCGGCGTCGTCTGCGCAGGTGTAAATGGCTGCATCACGGCGTACCTGGCGCTTTGGCTGCCGTATGTACGCAAGGTGGACTTGGAGTGGAGTGTGTACTGTCCACGCATGATCCCCACTGCGACCATCGTCGGTCTCGTCGGCGCACTTGGGTATGTGCGCGATCTACTTGGCACCCCACTCGATGCGATTGTAGTTTGATCCTGGGCCTTTGGCCTGTCTGGGGCCTCTTCACGCCCGGAATTCTCTTTGTGTTGTTTCTGGGCACGCTCATGACGGCGCACTTTCTCCCAGCCATGTAATTTGCTACAATAGTACACCACTCTTGCACACTTTACGACAGAGCAGTGGGCTCACGAGGCACTGCGACCAAATCTTCGTAAAGCGCAGGTGAGGCGTCGGATTCCGTGTAGCCGCGCCACGTGCTAGCGGCATCGTCGCCACTCCAATGTAATGGACAGCCTGTTTGCTGCACACACTGTACGGCGCAGTAATGACCGAGCTCCACGCAGGCACGGAGGCTTCCGTGCTGCAACCTACGATGTTGTCAGCCATCGACAATTTGCAGCGGAAAACACACAGGCCAGCGAAAAATCCACCCAAGAAAGCATCACCAGCGCCTGTCGTGTCGTGTAGGTGAAAACCACTTGGAATCTGCACGGGGACCGCCACAGGTCTACACGAGCCTTGTGAAACAGATACTGCAAGCATTGTTCTCATCGTACGGGCGATCACGTCGATATACTCTTGTAGGGGCTGCGGAGTTGGTGACAAGCACAATCGCGCGCGGCGTGCGAAGAACGTTGACGAGCAGCTCGGAGGCCACCTGGTCGACGGACGGGGTGTCCAATTGAAACGCGGCACCAAGAGCAAGCACTTCTTGAGCATTTCCAAAAAGCACTCGAACGTCGCGTAAAATGTCGTGGAGTCGGCCGACGACATCGGGGTTCTAGACACCCGTAGTACGAGAAAGCATCGCCTCGACCTACCTGCATGAGACCCGAGGAGGAAATGTTGAGGCAAATGAGATGGCGACTCGAATCGTGATGCTGAAGAAGATAACGCACGCATTCGTAACGTGGTGCCGAAGATAGCGTGAAGGCAACAACGTATAGTACGTTCGTTGCAGCCAAGCATGCATCGAGTGTTGGCGCGTCGAGTGTGTAACACAAATGCGCGGAGCGCTGCGTGATGAGCGTGCGCTCTTTGCTCGGCGATATGAGCGCGAGGCACGTGGAGGTGGGCAGACCAGCGTGTGTTTGGACGTGGGTCATATCGACACCGGCGGCACTGCAACAGGAGCGGAGAAAGTCTCCGTTGGAATCGTCGCCAAGAGCCCCGATAAATAGCGTCGTTTTCGATGGCATGAAAGCCTATTGTTGGAGCAATGAATGGGCGTTGAAAGGTCGTGTAAGCAGTCATCATCACCTGGACGACCCGGGCAGTGTTGAGCGCTGAACCACCAGGCACACGCTCCGTAGATGGATCTTCGAGCGCTCTTTGCATGATGGACGATCGTTCGTCAACTGAAAGGTGCAGATGTGTCTACATTCCGGTACAGTAGTTCGCAGGGCTTAGCGCATGTAAGCTCGGAATCGAGCGTCGCCATGCGCTCGCTCATTTACCTCTTGGCCTTCGACAACTCCAAGGCTCGAAATATACTACCCGATTCATTACGATGACGTAAGCACATGCGGGGGCGAAGCGTACCTGTAGAGGGACATGGCGAATCATGTCCACCATTGGGTTGCCAAAGGCAAGGAGGCGTAGGCCGCTGGCACCGACCATGCGGAACGCTGGCTGTAAAGTCTGCTAATAGTCCGCTCCATTGATATTGCTAGATATAATATCCTGCATAAATGCATTTTTGGATGCAAGGAATCGGAGATTGAGCTCTGCCTTCTGGGTTTGTGTAAGTCAAAAACTTTTCACGCCCTTGTACTGTACAAGGTTCCGGTGGAGAGGCTTGTAGGAAGGAATGCTGGACTGCTTTTTGTATACATAATACCAGTACGTGTTAGATGTGCATCGTGTTTACGAGTGACCATTGCGGCGGATACCCGTCGTATACGGAGCCGCCAAACGCTCTGGCCGCTGGATCAGATCCGGCCAACTTCAACCGAAGACCGAGCGAGACTTCGCCCTCTCTACAAACCGCGAGGTCTTTTTATGCGAGCGTCAAAGTCTGAATTTCAACCGAGGCGGCTCGGCGTGCCATGAGGCATTCATTCTGCTTCAACCAGCGGAGGAGCGATAGTAGATAGGAACAACTTATTGCAGCTTGAGAAGACGACGAGGACAACAGCCCCATTGATGCAACAGCTCCAGTGGTATTCACTTTGTTCAGGGCGTTACGCCTTAGGCAGTCTAGTCGCTCTATGGTGCACTTTGTCGGTACTGTAGTACCAAGGTCGGGCGCGCGCGGAGCGCCTGCTTGTTGGTTTCATTACCCCGTGCACTCTACAAGGGTGATACCAAAGACCTAACGTCTACATTTGTGTTTGGCATTGCCCATAAGAAGTTGGGAGACTATCTGTGCTCGTGTTTTGGAGTGGCTTGACATTATTTGCCGCCAGCCGTTGTTACTGTAGAGCTGCCAGAGTGGGTTAGCTACATTAGATATGCAACACGACGATTGAAGCAAGCTTTGGCCGCAACATGGATATATTATGCATAGCAGCAAACCGCTTAGCATAATTTTAAGTTACGCCTTCAACTTAGGCATCATTCACTTGTGAATGAGCCATGCTATGTATTCTAGGTGTCGACATGATCGACAGTGCGGAGCTCCTCACGGTGCTTCGGAGGTTTCCTCGACGATTATGAAGTGCGCCTGGTCCGCATGCTGCTCACGACCACGACACTCCGGCTGCGCATTGACGGCGAGGTGCACAGCCCGTTCGAGACCAACATCAAGGCGACTTGTTGTGACCGGCGATGTTCATCGTGTATCTCGATGCCGCGCTCGAGGATCTCGCGCAGACACTCATCGAGGAGGGCAACGTCGTCGCCAGCACGGTCGCCCACGCCGACGACTCTGACTTCACCTGCCGCGACGCTATTGCCATGACCAGGTTTTAAGCCGCGGCGCCATCCGTCTTCGCCAGGCAGGACCTCAAGCTGAATAAAGACAAGACAAAACGCAGGTATTCAGGTCGACGCAGGTTGATGCGCCGACGAACGTCGCATCTTTAGCGTGGCACGTGACGAAAACGCCCGGTAGCCTCCCCGGCGCTCGGAAGCGACTGGCGAGAACGGTGTTTAACATGCACAAAACTACGGTAGGCCCTACGGCCCTTAGGTCACACTATCGCGACACGTTCGTTGCACCAGCATCATGCAAGCTGAAGGTTAAACACATATCTCTTTCTAGAGCCGCCTTCGACAAGAAGTAAAACGGCGTCTTCTCTGACCTGGAGGCAGGTCAAGCTCGTGGCGTATGGCGTGAAAGACAGCGCACTGCCGTGGGTTTGCAGTAGCGAGGCCCTGAAGAGGTCTCTGTTGAAACTCGCGATCGTAGGACTTTAAAATCTCGAACAGACAGTTGCGCTTAATATCCAAGACGTCAGCCTTCAGGTCCTTAAGGCTGGCCGCGAATTTTTTGTTCCATTCAGTTCCAACGTGCGCCCAATTTTTTTGTACGGATAATATTAATCGGACCCGTCTCGCATCGGTCGAATTTCGTAAGGTCGGGAAATCGGTCCAAGCGGGTGTTCTGATCGGTGTTGGGGCCGCCATTGCGTCCGTCGCTGTAGCATGCGCTACAGCGGGAGGAGGCCTTCGCGAGGACAAGTACAACATCCTCATCATGGACATGGTCGACTTCGACGACATGCTCGACAATCCGCGCTTCAACCACTGGTTTATCAACAACCTGCGCTGCTCTTGTACATCGTTTTGTCGCCTGGTCAACGTTATGCGGGACTACATGGAGGACTACAAGTTCCCACGCTCGAAGCACTCGTTTAAGAAGTTGGCTTTGCTTCTGCAATATCTCGGTAGCTGCGGCGGCTGGGGACACGTCATCGATATAGGTCGATGTGCCCATCCGCCGACATCGCATTATTGGTGGTCGACAACGGGTCGGCCGCGGCCGCGGTGGGCTTCTCTTAGATCGCGGTATCAAGAATGTCTTCTTGACCGCGACCGGGGTGTCCTCTGTGTTCTTCTTGGGGACCATGGTCCTGCAAGTACAATTGTATGGAAAAGCAAGATTGAACGAGATCGAAGGCAAAAACGCGACTCCGACTACCCTCTTGCTTCGACCGCAAACGCCCTTGTGAGCATATCCGAATGCCAGATATAAATGCTGAAAGCCATCGAGTATTTTCTGGGCGCAATAGAACGGGAAAAATCCCGACCAGCCTCTCACGATACGCTGGCAACGCATAGAACATAATAACTATATTTGTTAGTGGTCTTTGTAGGTTTGCTTGTGGTAAATAATTCGTGTATATTTGTTATTGCTCTTCTCTCGGTAGAGAAGGGAGAGGTGGGACAAATATATCGATACCGCGAGTAAACCAACAAAGACCACGAGCAAATATACCACACACTTTAGCTACCCATCAGAAGCACGCGTACGTGCTGCGGTTATATTTTCTGCTCTGTGGCACGCCTTGAGAAAAACAGTACAGTGTAGGGGACAGCCTCCGCTCGTTATGCCACTTTGCGGTCGGTCGGATACGCATTCGTGGAACCTCAGCCTAATAGAGCTCGCCTCTCATATGCAGATGTGGCTGACGAGGCCTACACACCACAAAAATTGTTCAAAGCCAATAAACCGCAAAAGCAGTCACGTATCCCAAAGCGTCATAGAGAACATCGTCCGCAAGTAGATGTCGAGCGCACAAGATGGCGATGTCCAATCGCTTAAAACTAATATCCAGGTTCACTCTTTTCCAAGGCACCGTGCTCGGACCGACCAGAGGAAAAGCCGACGCGGCCGCTAAGCGGCACCACAAGCGGACCGAGTGAGCGCTCACAGGACCATGATTTGAGTGCTTGCAGATTGCCTGGCTGCCTGTCTGCAGGATGCCTAGGACGACAGTATCTTTCTGTTCCCGGTAACAAGATACTGCCGGATGAGTGACCGCTTTTGAGGCATATTGGGTTTAAGCTTTGTGAATGTTTCTCTCTCCCATTCCATCTGTTCTAGCGTCGCCTCTCTCATTTGCTTCTTAGATACATGTGGATTGGACTAATCTCGGTGAATAATTGACTGACTGGCTGTGCTAAATACTTGTAGTGTAGTTTGCGTTTACTTGGTACAAAGCCTGTCTTTTGCTTTACGCCCTTGCGTCAATGGCATGGGGTTTGTCTGCATTCTCACCACTGCATCGCTGTCGCTACAATGCACTCCGTGTAAGAGCATCCATTCAAACAGGCAGCGCACGACGGGTTAGCAACGTCAATTTGCATGAAACTGACAACGCGATCGGATATGTTAAGAGAATCAAAGGTTGCGTACTACTGTGCTACTGTGCATACCGCGTAGCCTTATCCACTTTGAAGATGCATAAACACGGTTGATTATGCGTAGCATTTGTCAGCAATTGAAAAAAGTCCTCTTTTCTATCAATAGAAGCAATCCGATCGACTAAGCTACATACTTTACCGAGCTACTTTGGTTGCAGTAAGTTGTCTTCAGTCATCGAAGCTGCCACAGTCTTTGCACCGTTGCAGCCGTGAATACCATGTCCAGCTTTGTGATGGCTAAAGGTGGCGTGGCCAGCGTCGTGTGCGGCATCGTGGAGGCAGACTTCTTTGTTATATCGCTCTGAACAGACGACCTGATCGTCAAGTTTGACGCGCCTCGCTCTGTGCAGTGTGCGTTAAAATCGAAACTGGCCTGGAAGAAAAAAAGACTGTTGCGATCTGGTTGTGGGCAAAACCTAATCCGTGTCGTGTTCGCATCTGTGTAACCAATGAATAGGATCGATGTCGACTCAACAAAGGTTGAATATGCTACGTCTTACTACAACAAATATTATTGCGCCTCTATTATTTACTGGTGTAAGCCATGTGGCCCTGCGGCTACACTCTGTTGTGGGCGCAATCTTCTTCGAGCAAAGTACTAGCCTGATAGTACGCACGTACTTCGTGCGACGTTGTGGTGTCGGGCGGGAGGTCTTTTTATCTGAGTTTAGCCAACTCTTTCGCGTCCAGTGCAAACCCGTGTGGCGAGGAGTCGATTGCGAGTAATCTTATGAGCAGTTTAGTCGTGCTATTGACTCTCTTTGTTTATTAGCGTGTCGAGGACTAACTGCCTCGAAACAAATCAAGCACCGTCGTGTTCAGAAAAACTCAATGTAATCGATGCGATGCGCTTTTAATATAGATTTGTCGAAGATTACATGACTTCTCGAAGGCTAAGCCGAAAGGCGTGGTGGAGGTGATGCTGTGGGATTTTACCGTGCGTTTTAAAGCGTTGCGTTGAAATCACTGAATGTAAATAAGATGTGCGATAGAAGATAGCCAAGGAAAAATCAACACTGCAAGGTAGTGGAAATAAATGCGATGGTGCCTTTTCGCAAAGAGAGCACAATCAACAACAGGTAGTGTACTTTCAAAGGCATTGGACTAATAACCAGTGTGCACCCTGTATACCTCTATTTCGAGAAACCTTACTACAGGCAAATACAGCTGATATACTTGCAAGCTACAAATGCAAATATAGCGGCTACACAAAACGGCAATCATTAGATTCTAATTTATAGGGCTGCCTGCAAAGATGTAGTTTTGCGTAGTGGGTAATCTCTAATATAAGCCACCTATGGCTAGAAAGCTCAATAATTTTTTCAGCCAGTCAGTCGGTTACCATCATTCGCCCAATCACACCCATTCCTTGCAGTCTGTCGAACATATGAAGCCGGTTACCAATAGCCTTATCTGGCATTGTCTAATTACCAAGGACAGGAAGAAACCATTGTCGAATGCGTTTTCGCGAATAGGCCAGCGAGTGTACTTCGCTAACCAACGCTTAAAGAAAAGCGTACCACAATCGCCTCGCTCGTAACTGGCGCACCGCGGCACACTCTTCTTCGCTTGTCCTAGCCGCTGCCCGGCACGCGCTTCGCGCGAAATTTGGCCCTGATTCACTCCCCTGGCCGCTTCTCGGCATATCGTTGCCATAACTTCACCGGGCGGCCTAAAATAAACTGAAACAAGTGTGATCATAGTTGCTTTTACCCTTTATCGGGCAACATCCAGATATCCAACACCGTTCGGAAACCTGCGTCAACATCCCTTCTGTGCCCGCACGACTGCGCTGACTGGTGCATTGCAAAGCACAACGCATCGCGCACTGCGTGCGCGCACTTGCATCTTCCGTGGGGCCGCTCCGCCGCCGCGTCGGCTTCGCCTTTGATCGATCCGAGCTCGGTGATCTGGGGAGGGTGTACTATAATCGTTTTGCACTTGGCAAAGGGGCAACACGACCTAGCAAAATCATCGCTGCGCCGCGGATCCATTTCAAGAGTGTGCTGCTGACATTCGGGACCCGCGTGTCGCGATCGAATGATACGAGCGCTTTCGTTACTCCAAAGCCTGCTGAATTCGCACAATGAGTGTGCCCGTAGGGCTACAGGGCTTACACTAGTGTAACTACATTGCAATTAGTTGTTTTGGCTCGTGTTCTAAGACTCTTATGCTCTTATTAAACGAGTCTTGTTGTAGGGCCACAGGACTCGCCCAAGTTTAATTTGAACCGATCGGGCACGGCCTACTGACTTCAGTTGTGGTCGGCAAAGTTGCCCGGGGCGCGTTGGCATTGGAAATGATGGCCAAGGCCGGCTTGATGTTTCGGCGCGAAGGCGATAATCTGTGAAGTGAAGAAACTGATGGTCTTGCGCTCAGCTCTCATTTGATAAACTGTAGAATTTTTTCTCGTCGATGCCTGAGGTCGTCCAACGTCCAACCGTCCGGCGCGACCCACGCGAGCTGGTAGCTGGTAGCAGAGTTGCCCTAGGCAGACGGTATCATGGCTTTGGCGGCTAAGGTCGTCGACTTGTGTGGCCCAAAAGAGCACCCGGTCTCCATGCGGCACATTGCGTTGTCACAACGTGCGCTTTGGGGCTCGTTCGGTGCTGCGAGGATGCTACACTTCTTGGTCGGCTGTGACAGCTGAACAAGCTGCAGCGTCAGTAGTGGGCAGAGGTGAGTACGTGAGGACTTGCGTCTTGGTTGCGGGATTGGTTCAGCTTGAAACCCGAGAGGCGGCACGAGTGGTGAGCGCAGGATGTCGCATGGCTTCGTGAGACGAAAAATAGTTGAGAGTCATCGGTAAAATTGCCGTCAACATGAGTCATCTGGTTTGAAGGTCGTGCTGATCTAGGTTATACAGCGCAAAAATAACATATAACCTCTCTCCCCTTCTTTTCTACATTGCTTTAATACGAATATGTCGTCGTACCGCCACTCAACCACGCGCGGTGGCGAAATGTAAGAGTGCAGCAAGTTTGTATCGTATCAATGGGAACTGCGCGAATGTAGCTTTTGTACTGGTAGGAACCTCCTGGTTACCCAGCCCACCGGGGATTATTTGTCTGTCTGTCTGTCCCATTTTGGATTGGTTAAAATGTTGCTGCTTGCGTAATATGATTGGACAGCTCGCAACAATTCATTAATGCGTTTTGACAGGCCGGCAGCTCAGGCCGGCGCCATGTCGCTTGGCGATTTTTACAGGCCGGCGGTCGCCGCCATGTCGCTCGGTGATGTTCAGATGATAGTGCACACCATCAACGCGGAGCACCGACACAACTTCGGAGACGAGCTTGCTGTCGCGCGGTAGCCGAAAGTTGGTGTAACATTGACCGGCCGCTCTTGCTATTGAAGTTGGTTAGCTACATTTAAGCAATATGCGAGCATCGAATGAGCGCAAGCGCAAGGCGCGCGCTGAGCAGAAGGCGAGCGAGACGCCCGAGGAGGAGGCGGCGCGACAGGAAAAGCAGCGCCTTACCAAAGCCACTGCGCGCGCCGTCGAGAAGGCCACCGAGACGCCCGAGGAGGAGGTGGCGCGACTAGAAAAGCAACGCCTTAGCGAAGCCACTGCGCGCGCCGTCGAGAAGGCCACCGAGACGCACGAAGAACGTGCGGCTTGAAAAAACACGCAAGGTCAAAGCGAACTCCCGCGCAGCAGATGATGGCGAGCTCAAATTGCTTGCCGACCGGATCCTTGCCGACACATCTACTAGTATCGACGCAGCTACAATCGGCAAAATCGCCGCGTCGCAGAACTTTACCAAGCACCCAAAACTAGCGATCGCAGCCTTCCACCTCTGCTCGGGCAACCCCGACGCTCATATGTGCAACGACGAGTCACTCAACGGCCCTGGTGGTCGGGAAGTTTGCGAACGCATTTTGCGAGCTGTAGGGATGCAGTCGGTCAGGCAGACGCTGCACGCTGTCAGGAGAGTGCGCGCCAGCGAGATGCCGGATCCGGGCGCATCGCTGCATGTGCCTCGTTCAACAAGGCACTCTACGAATGCGAAGTTCAGATTGTTGACGCTGGGCCTGTCGAACACCTACCCGCAGTTTTTCGCCTTGATGACTTCCAAGGTTCTCGGCTGCCGCGCGACAGTAAGCTCGTCTCCGAAGTTGTGTCGGTGCTCCGCGTTGATGGTGTGCACTATCATCTGAACCCGAGCCTCGTCCCCGACAAGAGCAACGTTGTGCTGTGCTTGGCATGCGCCAAGGACCCGACTGCAGGGTCTCGCAACGCCGCGCCCTTCAGTATCGCCAAGGGCCACGACTACGGGTGGTGCGAGACGCTGCCAAAGATCTGCGACGCTACCTTGTGCGCGTGCCATTGACGGCGACACAACCGACCGATCGCATCGGTTCCAAGTCTCGAATATTCGGCTGTCCTCGCCCAAGTGTCTGCTGTCAACAAGACAGTCAATGCGTACTCGCCTCCGCCAATCGTTGCACTAACAAGGTCGTCTGCCTAGCACCGATTAAAATACATAATCCACAAGATTTCATCGTTCCTACCAGCCCACTCCCCCGGAGCCTAGTATAAATATGAACGTGTTCCGCGTTATCTTGGTTGTTACTAAGAGTTCGCATACGAAGTGACTAGCAATCTCCTTCTTCATTCGCTCACCGGGCCGTGGCTGCGCAGGTAGTGGCGCGGGGGCTCGTTTTGCTCTTCTGTGGTCGTCCGGGGGCGCTTGTGGCCGCGGGGTGAGGCCCCTGACGACTCGCTGTGTAAAGGCCTTCCAGGCTGTGCCGTCGGCGGCTTGGTTGATGTCCCCGAGTGACGCCAGCGACTGAGGCGGTGTCAACGACTGGAGGTCGCTGTTCAGGACGATCGGCAACGTGATCTTGGTGCTGCCTAGAAAACGGGGCGCCTCGGGAGCGGCAAAGAAGCGGGAGGCGGCAAGGTTGGCAGGGACGTCTTCATACATGCGCAGCACGTGTCCAAGCAGGGGCCAGCGCTGGCTAGCAACGATCTCGCTCAGCGGGACGCTGTTGCATCGGTCGTAGTGCGCGACGTCGCCGAGCTTGTTCGGGTGAAAGATACGGAAAGGCGGCGCAGCTGCCGGCGATGGGAGCTGCCAAGGCCCGCCAGACTCGTTGGCGTCAGGGTCCACGTGCCACAGGTGTACAAAAGAACCAGGAGCACGTAGCACTTAGCCGCACCCAGTTGCCTTCCGAAATGAGGCCTCGACGCATCCAGATCTTCCACATGTTGTTGAACGCCGTTGTCGCCAGTCGCTCCCGAGCGCGCAGATCGACGGCGTCGTCAAGGAGGCTGCCGAGCTTCTTGGTTGTGTGTCAGACCAAAGAGGCCGCGTGCGTCAGCGCGTCAACCTGCGTCGACCTGAATACCTGCGTTTTTTCCGTCTTGTCTTCATCCATCTTGGGGTCCCACCGGGCGAAGACGGATGGCGCCGCGGCTTTGTTCCTGGACATGGCTGCAGCGTCGTGGCAGATGAAGTCCGAGTCGTCGGCGTAGGCGACCGTGTTGGCGAGTAGGTCGCCCTCCTCGCTGAGTGTCTGCGCGAGGTCCTGGAGAGCAGCGTCGAGGTACACAATGAACAGCGCTGGTGACAGCGAGTCGCCTTGTGGCGTGCCGATGTTAGTCTCGAACGGGCCGGGCGACTTGCCGTCGATGCGCAGCCGGAGCGTATGCAGCTATTGAGTCTCTTAATTAGATTGGTCTTTGTGTTGTCGCTGGTCGTTCATGGGACGTACGACTTGCTTCGAATGATAGCAATTCTGAATGGCGAAGGCGCTCGTAGTCGTAGCCCTTGTGTGCGTGGTAGAATTGGTGAGCACGAAGAAACGCACCAAGTCGTCGATGCCGACGTCGCCGACGTGCGTGCTGGTACGAAGGCAGTCGAAAACGATCTTTTTGCCGACACGATACCATTGTTCTCGAGTGGAAGCTGAGACTTGTCGACAATGTGAGCGTATTGTTTACATATTGAGCTGCTGCGGCTCGATCAGCGGCCCCATGATCCGTGCTGGCAGTAGCGTGATAAGTTGCGGGGACCCATGCACTAGATGCGCCTATGCCTTCATTTGCAGTCTTGGCAGATGCAAGACCGAGCCAACGCGGATCGCGATACGCTGCCGCTGGCCGCGATTAATACCGTAACGTTATTAGAAGTTCGAGTGCGCGCGAAGCGAGGTTGCCGAACGTTAATCCGGCGTGGGAGGGTTTAAGTAAAGCTACAAGTACATGTACCTCGTATCCCTCTGGGATTACAGGGCATACCGCGCACCATGGGCGACATAGCGGTGGTTGCAGCGGTGAAGCACGCGGTTGGTTAATCAATCACAATTGTCAAGGGCAGCGGTTCGCCGAGATTTTGAAGAACTTTTTGGTCGATCCGACTCGAGTCCGGTCCGTGTACGAAGCCCGACACATTTATGCAATGTGTCATTTGTTGGTCAATCGATGGGCGGTGTTTGGCTTTGCATCGCGCCCATTTGACGGCAGGCGTGGATTGAGGTCACAGCTGAAACTATACCATTATCGCCTGAGTGTACGAGGATATAATAGTACTGTACAACGCAAAACATGCTGCATGTTAAATATTGTTACGGGGCGCGCAGCCACACGGACGCATGGACCATCGTGACGCTGGCGACATGATCTCCGGTCTTTTCTACTTGAGGCAACCACTGCTCCTTGACAAGTGTCGCGGCGCCAGTGAAGTGTAGCTGCTTCGCGAGCGCATCGTCGGTCACGAGCACCATCTCTCCAGATGAGACAGCGGCTGCCGCGTCCACCATGGTTGCATTCATGGGCAATTTGTGGAGTGCGACGCCCGCGGTGAAGTCGCGCCAAGCCGCAGCGGCTTGCTGTTCGAGCTTCGTGAGAAAGACAGAGCCACCGGCACTTTGAAGCGACACGATAGACGACGTCCGGTACGGCTGCGGCTTGGCATGGGGCTCGGGCGCGTTAAGGCACGAGGTCACGAGCTCGTAGCTATCGTTCGCAGCATCCACGGGCGATGCAGCGACGCGAAAGCCTGCATGCTGGAAAAAGTGCGGCCGGAAGTGGTACCGCGCAAACTTGGAGCCGCCGTTGTCGCCACTGCTCATGTATGAGCCGCCCATGATCACGTGGTGCTCCCCGTCAAAGCACGGCACAGTAAAGTCGTCGTAGACCGGGTGGATCTCAAAGCCTGGAAGCGGGCTCATACGGTCCTCGCACCACTCCCACGCGTTGCCAAAGACGTCGTGGAAGCCGTTGCTGTTGGCGGGATGAGCGTCAACAGGCGTGAAGCTCGCAAACGCCACGTTCGTGTTGCGTCCTGACGCGGTCGCCATTGTCATAGTCGCGGGCAGCTCCAAGATGGCGTCGCTTCGGTCGTTGGCCCGCTCGTGCTGCTCGCGCAAGAGGTGGTGCATTGGCTCCGTGAGCAAGTGGTACACTTCATCGGGCGCTGCATCTTTGGCTTGCTTCCACTTGCAGTACGCGTGCGCTTCGTGGAGGTTGACCTGCGCCGGCCAGTTCCATTGCATCGAAATCTCGTCAAAAATGGCTCGAAGCTTGTATTCGTGGCTGCCTTGCGGACCATCTGGGCGCCAGAACGCCGGCCATTTCGTGTTGCGGTATGAGCGCCACGCCCACCCCGTCGTCGTCCAGTGCGAGGGGTTGAGGTACCCGGAGTCCTTGACAAACTGCCAAAACTCGCCGTTCGACACAAGCTGCGACGATGCGCGGAACGGCCCGACCACAACATCCTTCGCGCCGTACTCGTTGTCCCAGCCGAACGACGGGTAACTTGCGTCCTTCCCCAAGTGCACAGCGCCACCGGCGACAGCGACCATGGGGTTCACGGGGTAGTCGATGTTCTCGACAGGCACCTTGGATCGGACGTGGGCGGCGCTCTCGTGATACGCCGGGAAGAGCGCCGGCTTGAGAAAGTTGTCAACGTCGTGCTCTTGCATGAGCATCGACGACGTCTCAAGGTGGATACGGTCGTGCTCCATCGCCATGAAGAGCGCCCACGTTTGCGACGTCGGCGTGATCGGCGCGTGACCGTCCTCGAGCTCTGGGTGCGAGAGAACAATCGATTTGACGAGGCCGTACACCTGGCGCCGATACGCTTGCATATCGTGAAGGGACGGCCACTCCTTTTCGTTCTTGGACATGTCGTCCCAGCGCATCTCGTCCACGCCGACTTCAAAGAGGTCCTCAAAAGCCGGGTTCACGGGGCCCTGAAGCAGGCCAGCGAGGCGGAGCTTGTTGACGTAAAAGCAGGTCGGGTGGCCGTAGTAAAAGGCCATCGGGTGACGGAGCCCGTGCGGCGGCGGGACGATGAAGGCCTCTTCGTTCTGGAAGCTCGAGAACAGCATGTCCGTGAGAGCCCACGTGTTGTCCAAGTAGTCGAGAACGTCTTGGCGCGTGCACGTCGAGAGGTTCGTCATGGCGACCGAGTGCAGTCGACCGTCGTCGAGGAGGCCGGGAAACGTCGGGTCATTGAACGGCGTGCGTGGCGTCGTGGTGTACCATTCAACCTCAGGCTGGATCCCAGCGGCGGCCTCAATCGTGATAGCCACCTCGTCCTTCGTGTTCTGGCGCGCCCGCACGTGTACGTGCTGAGCGCGGTCGCGGCGAGGCAACTCCTTCGGAGCCTTCTGGTGATGACCGAGTGGCCGCGTCGACGTCGATACAGTGGAGAGCGCGCGGGCGAAGTGGCGCTTGTTGGAGGTCGCAAAGCGGCGCGGGAAGGACGTGATCGACAACATGCTCGGCAGTGCGATGGTCGGTTGCAGTGGTATTGGGAAGTGGCTGGCTTGTAGGTCCGAGCGAGTGCTCGAAATAGAACAAGCAGCAGCGCCAACGTCCTTCCTCGGACGTCGCCGGACGACAGCGGACAGTGCACGCGGCCGTCAAGCACGCACCCACCATACGTTATTGCTATCAAGGGCATCTCAGGTCCATCCACTGTAACGCCCAGTTTGCTCTGGAACATTTAATTGCGAAAAATCGACCAAGAGACGTTGACCCCTAAACGGCAACGGTCGCGCCGTCTTGGTGTTCGAAAGAGCCGTGAATGACACAGCAGAACGACGTTTAAGAAAGCGTGCGCTGCCGCAACGAGGGCCGAACAGACTCTTTGATTTTGGAAGCCTCGTGTTGTTGTCTGACGTGGCACGCTGTTGTTTCGGTAAAAGATACTACGTAAGCCGCACACAAGTGCAGTGGGCGCAGACGGTCGCCACAACCTTGATTCCGCCACCGCATCTGAGCCTGGTTCTAAGATGCGATTGAAGTTCAAACTGATGCGGCGAGGTCCGACACGAGCACGAAATGCACGTGTTGTTCCCTCAAAGTCGCGCCTTCCTTGCAGCTTTCGACAATTATGAACACTCGGCTTTCACCCATCGATTCCAATCGGACTCGTTGACAACGCAAGGTTTCATCGGATCCCACATGCTTCGTTGGCCTAGCACACACACATGCCGCGATCCCAACAAAAAACGTTGTTTCGGTATTGCTGGATGCATCACGAAGACGCTGGATTGCGATCACGAGTGCCAACGTTACCACATGAGATCGTTGCTACTACCAGGTGTACGCAAGTGAAGACGAATGGCGTGGCAGTGTATCGCATGGTTGGGTACGACCGACGCGACGACGGTGGACGTCGTCAAACGTGCGAATGGCTGCAGCTTCCGATGTCACCTGACCGCGGTCGAGTGTTTTTTCATTTTTCACATTATGCAATTTTCACACAGACTGGTGATGACGACCGGCAGCGACGACGACAGCCTCCACGAGGGGCTCGCGCGGCTCTTTGGGCCAGCGCGGCGGAAGAGGAAGCGCAGGCGCGAGATGTCGGAAGCGGAGGCCGTGACGATGGTCAAGAGGAGCGTCCGGGACGCGCCCAACCAAGTGCTGGCGGTGCGGCGCACCCTGGCGTCGATTCTTGCTGCGCTGCAGAGCGTTGCGCCGCCAATGCATCACGTCTCTGACTCGATCTGCGCTACGAGGGCTCACGTTGAGTCCTAGGTCATCGCTGTCTTCTCGAGTCTATTTGCCCGCTCCAAAGTGTTTCGCGACGAGTTCGTACGAGCGATGTACCCCATCTTCTCACTCTGGTCGTCCAAGCAACTATACTCGGTTGAGCTCCTCAAGCTGCTAGAGCATTGGGACGCGCAGCATCGGTCAACATACCCCCAGCTCCATGCAGCGATCGAGGCAATCCCGGCCAAGTTTAAAAACCTTCTTCAAGCCCATCGAGCCAAGGTTTGCGCAGCGTCTGAGGATGCGGCAGCGACGACGCGCATGACTGAGATTCAGTACACGCACGTGTGCTCCGAATTGGGGGATGCGGAAACAGCCATCGGTCTCGTACTGCAAGAGATGGAAGCGGGCCTCGCCATACTCGTGCCAACGGTCGAAGACAACTTTGAGGCGCTACTGCCGACGCTGCCACCCGTGACCGAGCATCTCCCCAGCGACGAAAATGACGACGACGACGACGACGAAGAGTGGGAGGATGTTGTGCCGTCATCCGTCGTTGCGCACACCTCGGCGGCGCACTTGACGCTCGCGGATGTCATTGCTCAGTGCGGTCTCGGCAGCGCCGCGTACTCGCTTACAATAACAGTGCCAGCCCTAAACGCGCCGGAGCTCGAGCACGTGCAGACTGCCGTCAAAGAAAGCGCCCTCCACCTTCGCAAACGATATCTCCCGCTGCTACGGCAATGGCAAAACACGGTCAACGCACACGCGTCCTCGTCGTCTGACGTTCGCCATCGTCTTCAGAAGCTCCATGACAGCGTTTTATCTACCCTCCTGAAGTGGAACGAACTCCGTGAGGCGATTTCTCTAAATGCAAACTCGGAGTAGTTTTACCATGCATTTATGAAGACCTAGGATATGGTACACGTCTGAGTAGTGCCAACTAGCGCACCGATTTCGGCTGGTACAATCGGTGGCGAAAGTACGCGAGCTCGAGGTCGCCAATAAGCTGCCGGATCGCGTACTGCTCGTCCATGAGCACCCACGAGCCCACGAGCGCCTGTCATGCAAGAAGGTCGTAAATGACAGAGGTCACGGTGATCGGACAGAACGGACCAGAAATCCGGACGAGTCGAGAAAGTCGGGCACGTCCTGGGTGCGAAGGGAATCCATCACCTCTTGGACGGCGTCCGTAAAGTATGTCTTGTCGGCCTGGTTTAAGTTGGACACGATCGCGTCATGGAGGTGTTCGGGCAGCTGGATCGGGTGCCGGGACGTGTTGACATTAATGTACTTGTCGATGATCTTTTTTGCACTGCGTAGCACGATCTGGTACGACGGTAGACGCCGGAACTCCTCGACCTATTCACGCTGCAACTCCATAGCTGTCGAATTGGAACCAGCGCACCTCTTCGTAGAAGATGAGATTTTCAACGCAGTGCTGCGAGCGAAGAAACTTCTTGAAGTTGCCGACGTACTGCGGGTTGGCCAAAATCACTTCCAGGTGAGGCATCTCCAGCACGCCTGCAACATATTACGGCTGGGGGTGGACTGAAGGCTTATACAAGTTTACCTTTGGTCACGGCGGCAGCGATCTCCGCCCCCAACTGAGGGTCGGTCGTGCCAAGCTTAAGCTCCGCAAACGTCGACGACTTGAAGTATCGTAGCAACGAGTCGCGCAGGAGCCCTAGCACAGGAGACTAACGCTCCATAACTTTTGTAGCAGTGCTACCCTGCTTGACGTGAGCAACCACCGGCTTGAACATGTCGATGGTGGGGGACGAGAGCTTTGCAACAATGTCTTGACGCAGCTTGGTGCTCATGTCGACTTGTAGCTTGGCCGACTCGGCGACGTACTTTTTGTAGAGCTTCTTGGCCGTGTGGTGCATAAACTCAATGCCTGGTAGCGTGTTGAACTCGTCCACTTCATCGATAAAAGCGACACAGTGGTCCTTGGCACGCTTGCCCAGGAACGCCTTGAATGCTCGGTGTGCAATCTTGTCGTGAAGCAGCATAACAACTGGGTCGACCTGGACCGAGCTTGCCTTTCCAACGTTTGCAAGCGCCGAGACCGGAATCGACATCGCCCGATTGTACAGTCTACGCATAGCGTGCACTCAGTCGCCAAACGGCGAAACTCTGCGGACTCAGTCGGGTCAGTCTTGTCAAGCTGCGCCATGAGCACGCGCATCTGCTCCTCTGTTATGGCCGGGTGGTACGGATCCCAGTGCTGAGGCCCCGACGCCGACGCCGTTTGCTGCTGCGTGTAGGCTAGGTACTCTGGCGAGTGACTACGTTGCATCCGTGGATCAAGGTCAGCACAACTCGGATGGTGTACCTGAAGGGACCCCAGAGCTCGAGGCGCATGTACTCGACGACCATGTACTGTGCGTCGTGGTACATAATCGCGTCAAACGTGCCCCCGCTCTTGGCCGTCATCTCTTCGTGCATCTCCGGGGATAAGTTGATGAACCGCTTGGCGCCTTCCTTGATGTACGTGTCATAGATCTTGCGCGCGCGCGCTTGGATGTACGACTGATTGGGCAGACGCTTGCACTCTTCGACCTCGCAGTAAAACCCAAGGTTCTCTGCAACCAGCGTGAGTAACCAGCCCAGCCAGACACGATTGTTGTACCAGCCGTGCGCGATTCGATGCAGTAGGTCTTGAAGAAGCGCAGTTTGGTTTCGTCGCTCAAGACGGCGTCAAAGCTGTAAGCTGAGTCGACATCCGGGGGAAGCCTACCCAGCGTCGTCACTTGAGTTTTCAAACACGTTACGTACGCATCGGGCTGGGCAACGCACGAGCGCGCCGAAGGGTGGCGGTCGCCCTCCTGCTCGCAGAGCGAGACCATTTTCTGGAACAGTGCGTGCTTCCGGAACCGCGGAAACACGTCTTTTTCCAGGTCCCGCTTGCACAGCGCTTGCGCCTCGTTAAACGTCCCTATACGGTTTTGGCCTCAAATTCACAGAGCATGACAATGTACCCGCCGATTGGATACCGCCCGGAGCCTCGTACAAGGCGCGCAAGTCCGCAAGCATCTGTGTCGGCACACAAATTGGAGTCGCCGCAGACGGACTGACGAATTTCTCGTAGATTTTTTTGAGCATGCGGTCCGTGTACTGGGCACTCGGTAGCGATCGGTAATTCTGAACGTCAGCCCAAAAGTGGAGGCGATCCACAGCAAGCGGAATGTCTTTGGCAAAGGCGACGAGGAGCTTGAACGTGACGGGGTCCACGAGCACGTCGATTGTAAACGCCATCGAGAGCTCTTCCACGAGCTCGCGCGTGATCGTCGGTCGACGGTACTTGGTGTGATCTTGCTTGAGCGTCGTCGGAATGGCCTTCATGCTTTGGCTCACTTGGCGAACGTGTTCTTGTTGGGTCGCCGACTTGACATCAACGTAACTTAGCGACGAGAGTTTGCCCAGCGACTTGTTGCTTGAGCTTGCGTGCAAACTCGGGTCATCCAACGTTTGGGCAACCGTGTCGCTCGATTCGTCGAGGGACTAGACGTGCCTGTTCGGCAACGAAATTGGTGCCGAGGATTGAACTACCTGGACCGCGTCGGGTAGCTCGTCGTTCAGGCATTGCAGACGCGCTTGGATCTTGGCAAACACCTCTTCGTCCGGCAGTGCCTGATTGACGCCAGCTGTTGTTTCCTACACCACTGTCATCGTCCCAACCGGAGGAATTCTCACGCGTACTTCGCGGACGATGGCAAGGACGTCGTCCTGTCCAACCGACGCGCCTGCTCCCATTCGACTTTAAAACTGGCGCCCACGTTGCCACCTAAAAATACCTCGGCGCCGGTTTCTTTTGTACCTCGACACACCTCGCCAAAGCAGCTCGGACGAGCGACGTCCGCCGTCCATGATTTTGCCGTGACGGCCAGCGCAGAGTCATCTCGTGCACGAGTCGCTTGGACGACGTCCGACGTGCGCGTGCACGCGTGGTCGTTGCCACCGAGGGCGCGTGCGTTTCATCTATAAATAGCGTTGCCAACGACCGCCCGGCGTCCATGTCCTTTCTGTCATGGGAGGCAGCGCGTCTGTGGGCCGCAACCTCCAATCCTTCGAGGACGGGGTGCGTTGCTGCGACCACCGCCGGTGGCTCTAACACAACTGTCGTGCCTTAGAATGTGCGCAACGAAAAGGAGACATCGACCAAGATCCGACCGCGCCTGATCGCGATGGAGAAGGTACAAGTGCCTTCAACGATTGAGAATGATGAGCTTGCGTAGGAGACCGTATATCGCGTCAAGCCGGACGCAGACGCCGTTGTCGATGACACCGCACCGCCCCCAGAAGGTGTTGTCCCGAAGAAAGACTTCTACGCGCCGTTAACCCCGTCGGTCTTTGGCAACGCGTCCCGTTCTCCCCGTCTGCCGCCGCTGGGCGGCGAGAAGCTGCCGCAGTCGGCCAATGATACTCGGAAAAGTGCAGGCACGGTGCCGATCCACCCTGTTGACCACACAAAGCACCGAAGGGGCTCGCGACACGCCAACCTCGCCAACGACATGACAATGGCATTCACGATGGACGTGCTTTTCAATCCCGTGACAATCAAGCTCATGGTCGCATACTGCCACAGTATTCCGTTCGCGTCCGACCGGCTGCTGTTCTGGGCCGATGTCCAGCACCTGCGGACGCTTCCCAGTGCTCAGTACACGGATCGCATGCTCCAAAAGATCTACCACAAGTTTGTGAGCGCCTCAGCACCGACGCCAATCTGTGTGCCTACCAACGTCCTTCGCGAAATCCAAAAGACGTGCGAGTCGTCGGCTGGCATTCAATCTGCGGGTTTGCGTTCCGGATGGTACAAAGCAACCTCAAAGCACCGTAGGCGTCTTTGCTGAGGCGCAAGCGCTCTGCCTCCGGGATCTAAAGAAGGACGTGTTTCCTCGGTTCCGAAAGCACAAACTCTTTCAGTCCATGCAGGCAGCGTGCGAGACGCAGGCGTCCGAGAAAAAGCCTCGCTCGCGCTTCGCATTGCTTCGCGAGACGCCTTCGTAAAACGCCCCAGCGTTCTGCGCAGCTCTGACGACGGCGTTTGTAGACTGCCACTCTTCCAGTACGACAGTACCTACAGCTTCGAGGCCGTCATGGGTGACAAGTGGAAGTTGCGCTACTTCAAGAGCTATTGCATCGAAAACATGTCATCCGGTGCGTGTTGCCACCCGCGATTGCCTTTGACGTACCAATTGGCACCTAGAAAATCTCCTCTTCTTCCTCGAGGTGGACGAGTGTAAACGCCTCCCCAACCAGTCGTTTGTCCAGGCCACGGCGCGCAAGATCTACGACACGTACCTCAAGCCTGGCGCAAAGCGGTACCTGAATCTCTCCCTCCGGCTTCACAACGAGTTTGCCATCCCGGACGACGCGGCCTTTGAGCCCTCCGCGTTTTTTGACGCGCAGTACCTCGTGCTCGAGTACATCCGCGTCGAGCTCTGGCCGCGCTTCAGGTATCGCCAAACGCCATTACAAAGTCACAAGCTCTCGTTAGCATCTCGGAGCCGTACATCAAATACTGCCAAACGGAGGCCGTGTCGCCGCAACCGTGGGACGAGTACCACCCCGAAATCTCGGCTGAGCGAATGGAGACGCTCATGGCCGAGCTGGATGCAATGAGCCCCTCCGTGTACGTTTTTGAATTTGAGTTTGCCAACAGCACTCGCGTTTGACGAAATGAAACCTTGTAGGCTCATCCAACGAGCGCTGTCGATCCCCGTCGAAGCCATCGCCAATGCGCCAAAACCTCTGGCGCCAAACACGCTTATGTTGCTCCTCCACGACAAGCTCGGACACCGAGCGTTCAAGCAGTTTCTGTCCGTAAAAGGCAACGCCCATTACGTTGCCTTCATCGACGAGGTAACTCGAGTCACCGCTCTCCCCAAATTCACTCATTTCTTCAGGTCGACGAGTATGAAGGCCTACCTGGCATTGAGTTTATGCAGCACACGGCCAAGAAGCTCTACAAAAAGTACCTGAGCGAATCCTCCAAGCTCCAAGTGGACACCAGCACCAAGATGCGCCAGGAGATCGAGGCCAAGCTCTCGTCGCCAACCATCGACATGTTCAAAGCGGTTGTCGCCCGCGTAAAGCAAGGTCCTCCGAGCCGACCTCTGCGTCTATGTTTGGTAACGTTTTCGCTCCGTAGGGTTGTTACGAGACGCCTTGCGCCGATACCTCAAGTCGTCCATATACCTCGAACTCAACCTCCAAGCTCTAAATCCCGAACTAGCAAAGGAGCTGGACGAGGCTGTTGCACAAGGTACCCACCCATCCGACAATGGATGGTCTGAAACTGGTGCCAGGGAAACTGGAAATTCCGCACCTGGAAATCTTTCTATCGGACGCCACTTTCCTCGCCAACTTTAAGAGCTATTGCAAGAGCCAGCACTGTATCGAGAACCTCCTTTTCTGGGAAGAGGTACGCTTCCAGCATCCTTTCCGTTCGGCATTGAATCTCGCTAGGTCGAGGAATTTCGGAGGCTACCGTCCAACCAAATTGTGCTGCGCTGCGCCAAGAAGATTGTCGAAAAGTACGTCAACATCGAGACGTCCAAGACGCCGCTGGACCTTCCCGTCCACATGCACGAGTTCCTCACCGACAACCTTGAGCACGTCGACCGCGCCTACTTCCACGATGCTGTGGCCGAAGTCATGGACGCGCTCCGCTCTATTGAGCTCCCCGATTTCCTCGATTCGCCCCTCTTCATGGTACGCACTCCTGGACTGTGCTGCGAGAATCGACATTTTCGCCGCAGGTGCTCGTTGGGTCGTGGGTCACGATGGACCAAGTGTACGCGGTGCACCACCTTCACAACGACCTCGAGTCGGCGTACTTTCGGCACCGGTTCCACTACATTTGCGAGGCCAAGAAGGAGAAAAACCGAGACGATGCGCTCGGGTAGTGTTGTGGTAACGTTGGACTTATCGCATTCTCTTGGCCAACCTTGTTACGCCTGGCGGCTACCGTCATCGTCATCGTCGACACCAACCCAGGACTCGAATGCCATGAGAAACTCCTACAAACACAGCGTCGGTTCTGGTGTCGGTGTAGATACAAATATATGACTTTGAACGTGATACTGCCATCGTGGTCCCAGTCCATCTCGTTGAAGCGCTTTTGCGAGATGAAGGCGTTGGCGGGGCAGGTGCTGCCGCTCTTTGTCGTCGAGCCCACTGACCTCGTCGTAAGCGATCATACGTCGCTCACTGGTACGTACATTTGCGCGCCTTGGACATCTTCTTCGTGGGTGAGTGCTCGTGCATGGACTCGGTCAGTCGACGCAGCATCTCCTCTCTAATGTCATGTGAGCAAGTCGGACGATGCAATTGCCTCATGGACTTTTCGATGAGCCCGTCGCCGTCCATGTCAAACCATAGAAAGACGTCGACCGCCAGCTGGAAGGCCTGTCGGAGCTTATTGCCCTAGAGTCCCATTCCGTTACGCTTGAAGGCACACGTCGTGCCCACCTCGCCAAAGAGCAGGGTTTTTGGCTCTGTCTTTCCAGCTCTAGACGATCCAACATGGGATTTTCAATGCGTGTTGAGGGGCGTACAGGGGCGCGTAAAAGATGCTGAGCTGCGGCGTCTCTGTCGTCTCGAGGGCGGGTATCCGCTACGAACTTCGTTATTGACATGCCCAAGGTGCATGTACAGTGTACGTGCAAGACAAAGCCCATGGCGAGGCAGACGAGGAACTCTTTGAACGAGAGCTGGCCGTTCTCGGCCATGTCGGCCTCGCTGAACGCCTCGTCAATCTCGGCCTTGGTAAAGTTGCCGCCGAGCCGGTTGAGCGCGCTCTCCATGTCGTCAAAGACGATGAAGCCTACGAGGAGCATCGCGTCGGACGGCGCGACGATGGCAAGACGGACCTTTTTGCTGCTTGTCGAATTCGCGGAACGTGACGCGAACGCTGTCAAAGGCCTCCTTGAGCGCCGGGCCCTTGAGCAAGATCTTGGTGAACGGGTCGTGCTTGTCGCCGCCGTCGTGGTCCTTGCGCGCCTTTAGCTCTCGAAGTGCATCCATGAGTCTACTCGCCCATGAGCCAGTTGCCGCAGCAGACGAGGATACTTGGAGTCGAGCGTCGACGACGCGCGGTGGGGCTGCACGCTGATCTCGTACGCGCTCTCTCCTGGCTGCGCCAGCGTCCGGCGCCCGCTCGACCGACTGTTGCCCATGCTCTTGTCCGAACCGTCGTACGAACCTGGTATCTTTCCGTCGTGCCATAAAAGGGTATGCCCGGAAACAAGCAAAATAGAGCCGCAATATTGACAGCGGTTCAGTTAGCGCCACACCAGCACGATCTCAGGGTATGCGGCGTGAAACTTGCCGAACTCAGTCTCGTCCCTCCCTTCTCGTTTCGTACCAAGCACTCACGTTCAGCACTCTTGCATGGGCAGCATACCCTTTTGTGGCATTTTCTGCAAATATTGACCCCTTTTGGCATTAAACACAAACAAGCTTGCCGAGAACGGCCAGTAAACAGCGTTGGGACGATGGAGGCCAAGAAAGCGGCCGCCAAGAAACCCGCGGGGGACGCGCAGCGCGGGAAAAAGCGTCGCGCCGGCGACGTCGGCGACAAGACGAAGGCGCATGATGGGCATGGGCTCGGCGGAGCGCAAGGCGCCGAAAAGGTCGCACGCGCCGGCGGTACGCGGGCATCGCCCTTGCGCCGCCTCACCTCGGGCACGCGCGAGGCAATGACACCGCCGCCTTCGGCAGTCAAGCCGTTCGTTCGAGGCGAGATGGCCGACAGCAGTACGCGTGTCTGATGGCGTCGCCATCGATCTCATGCCTGTTCTGTGTAGTCAAGCACATGATGTATGGATTTGGTGATGCGTGGGAGCCTGACAGCGACACGGTTGAGCTCATGGAAGAGATTACGATCGAGTACATCCGCTCAATGGTATAGAGCCGTTTGTGTTCGCTCATATCAACCTTGACCGCGTAGACGAAGAAGGCGCTGGACCTCTCCATCGCGAAGGGCAAGCTGGATGCCGACTGCCTCATCTTTCTCGTTCGGAAATACCCGGAGAAGCTCGAGCGCGTCAAGGAGCTACTTGCGGCCAATGAACTGCTCAAGAACGTTCTCAACAGCGGCTTCGACCCTCTTGAAGAAAAATAATTTCAACTGAGTGAGGCCTTAAAACACGTCAAAGAGACGTGCAAACTTTGCGCTGAGGTACATCGCTCCAAGGATACCCTTTCGTCCTTGGTCGATACACATACGATCTGCCGTCCTTGAGCTATCAATAATCTTCTCCACGGATCGTGTGTATGCCGTCGCCGAAACCAGCAACCACGAGTCCGTCAACACCGACGCCGCAACCATCTACATCGACGTGCGTCAACGTTTCGATCCTTGGCGACGCCACGTACTGCATTGCTGGTCCTGTCTGCTCTGGCAGTGGTCTCGCGCCAAGTGGAAGTAGCTGCCCGAAGAAGGGTGACGTGGCTGTCATGAACTGCATCCCAGCCATCCGAAGCTACACGTCCAGTGGCAAGTGCGTCGCCGTCGCCGACGCCTCGTGTCAACGGATGCCGTCGGGTACGTTCGCATGCACGTAGTAGTCCTTCAGAGTACAACATGGCAAGTCTCCCATTCCCCTCGGAAAAGGCAACTAGACCCGAACTCGTATTACCAACAAATAGATATTACATTCTTGCGTTCGATACTTTCGTGACAGTACCTCCCGTAAGCCAACGGCGAGCACGTTTGACGCAAACATACATGACTATATTTTGAATATACTAGTCACGCAACACAAGGTTTACATGTACACGGCAGCCGCCGTGGCCACAATGGCGATGGCCGAAAGCCCAGCCGAGACAGCCGAGCTCGGCGCCGGTGTCGGGGCCTTGGTCTTGGGGGCCGACGGCGCCGGCGTAGCGATCGTCGCGTTGGGCTCCGCAGTACCCGAGCCGGCATCCGTGGCTACTGGCGCCGTGGTCTTGTCGCTGGGCGCAGCCGTCGTGGCGTCAGGCTTCGTCGTGGCGCCACCGGCCGAAGTCGGCTTGGGAGCGTCCGTCGGCTTGGTCGGGTCCGTCGGCTTGGGGGCATCCGTCGGCTTCGTCGGGTCCGTCGGCTTGGGCGCGTCCGTCGGCGAGTAGAACGCAGTCCAGCCCTTCACGGCCTGGTCGAAGCTGAGCTTGGCAGCGACATCCGACGTCGTAGGGCCCGTCTTCTGCGTCAGCGTGCACGGCGGCGCAATCGTGGCCATGTGCTTGGTGACGGTTGAGAAGAAGTTCTTGCAGTTCTCCGAGGCGCCAAAGAGCTTGACCGTGGCAAGGTCCTCCGGGATCCACGACGGCACCATGATAGTGGTCACGGGCTTCTTGATGTCTGCGGCGCACTTCACGAACGGGCCGTTCGCGTCCGTCGCGATCGGGAGAAGCGGCATGAACTGGGTGAGCTCGCACTCAGCGGCAAAAGCCGACGAGGCAGCAGCAGCGAGGATGATAGCAGTCTTCATTGTGGAAGGGGATGTACTCGACGTGGCGAATAAGATAATGAGGCTGCTGAGAAGTCTCTCCGCTCGTGGCGTTCAACTGCTCCGCAGTGTACTGTAGTAGTGCATGTTGTGCATCTTGACGGCGTAAGGACCACGACGATGTGGACGTGTACCACGTCAAAGTATCTTTTCCAGCGCGCGACGCAAGCTGTTGTTGAACAGAGTTATATGACATGCAATTATATAGATATGGTATGCTTCCTACTGCGCTCGTGAGGCTTGGCCGGTGCGTCAGCGAGGAGCACGAGTGGTCGTGATGCGAGATTGTGCGAGGGACCAGGTAGCGTGCACACCAGGGGTCGTCGCGGAGAGCGGCCAGCGACGTGCAAGAGATGGCACCGCAGCGCGACGAGCCAAGTGCCGGACATGCAGTCGTGCGATAGTAGCTGCCCGGATCGCGAGCGCGGCAGCGGGAAGTTGCGTTCGAGCCAAAGACAATACAAGACGCAAGCGACGTCGTCGTAGAGAAAGCCAGCGACCGACGACGGGAGTTGCATCCGCGACGCTAGCTGTTGGTGGGTGCGCGACCATTCACACCCATGTGTTCCACATTGCACTTTGCATTTCATAAAAACCTACGCTACTAGTATGTCGAAAACAGAGTTGTTTTCAAGGAATTGTCCTTGAACCCACAAAACGAGAACTTACGAGCCAACGTAGCCCGTGAATGGAGAACTATTTTTTGTCGGGCATCTATCTAGCCAGTTACGCTTCTCTAATCGGTGCAGCGGGTGTACATTCCTTGTGATCGTCGTTCGTACGCGGTGATGGTACCGGCAGGGTGATCAGTTTTCTGTACGTCACGGTAAAGACACGGTGGAATGGTATGGTGATAGTGTTGTGCGCGTCGTTGCTTCGTTGCATTGCAGCCAACAATTACAGGCACTACACGTGTGGAAGAAGACTCACACGGCTGGATTGATAACGTGACGCCGTAGCGTCAATATCCCTTTGCGAACATTGAAGAGGGTGGCAACATAACTTGTGTGGGAGTACCTTCGACAACAGAAGACCTTAAGTACGGGGCAAACACATATGCTTCCTTATACATCACTCTGCTCCTCGAGGTGTAGGCACCCTCACGCTCTCAGGCTCTGTCTTCGCTCCACATTTCAACGAGCTATGTCCCATGGTGCAAATCTGATCCATAAACGACCCGGTAACGTCTACACAGAACTGGCGCCTGTCGGCACCCCCCGATGTCTTCGTGATCTATCACAGAACCATATGTTGCGACCAGACTGCGTCCTGTCCAAAATCTGCGGCTCTCCGTGGAAAGTCTACGCAGTTGACACAACACACCAAAGTCATTGAACCGCCATTGCTTGCGCCCGAAACCTCATTATCTTATTCGCCACGTCGAGTACATCCCCTTCCACAATGAAGACTGCTATCATCCTCGCTGCTGCTGCCTCGTCGGCTTTTGCCGCTGAGTGCGAGCTCACCCAGTTCATGCCGCTTCTCCCGATCGCGACGGACGCGAACGGCCCGTTCGTGAAGTGCGCCGCGGACATCAAGAAGCCCGTGACCACTATCATGGTGCCGTCGTGGATCCCGGAGGACCTTGCCACGGTCAAGCTCTTTGGCGCCTCGGAGAACTGCAAGAACTTCTTCTCGACCGTCACTAAGCACATGGCCACGATTGCGCCGCCGTGCACGCTGACGCAGAAGACGGGCCCCACGACGACGGATGTCGCTGCCAAGCTCAGCTTCGACCAGGCCGTGAAGGGCTGGA